ATATGTTTGTTGGATATTATTCTGTTGTCTTTTGAAACATTTCTGTTCATGTCCTTTGCTCATTTTTTGATAGAGTTGTTTGAGTTTTCCTTGCTGATTTTCCTGAGTTCTAAATAAATTCTGGGTATCAGCCTTTGTGGATGTGTAGCTGGCCAAAATTTCTCCCATCTGTGGGTGTCTGTTTGCTCTCTGACAGTTTCTTTGGGTGTGCAGAAGCTTTTTAATTTGATCAGGTCCCATTTATTTATTTTTGTTGCTGCTGTGATTGCCTTTGTTTAGGTCAAATGTCTAGAAGAGTATAAATTCTTTGCCTAGGTCAATGTCTAGAAGAGTATTTCCAATATTTTCCTGTAGAATTCTAATAATTTCACACCTGAGGTTCACGTCTGTTACCCAGAGTGAGTTGATTTTTGTGAGGTGAAAGGTGTGGGTCATGTTTCAGTCTTCTACATGTGGCTATCCAGTTTTCCTAGCACTATTTATTGGATAAGGATTCTTTTCCCCAGTGTATGTTTTTTTTTTTTTTTTTTTTGAGACAGAGTCCGCACTTTATTGCCCAGGCTAGAGTGAGTGCCAGTGGCGTCAGCCTAGCTCACAGCAACCTCAAACTCCTGGCTCAAGCAATCCTCCTGCCTCAGCCTCCCAAGTAGCTGGGACTACAGGCATGCGCCCACCCATGCCGCTAATTTTTTGTATATATAATATTAGTTGGCCAATTAATTTCTTTTTTTTTTTTTTAAATTTTTTTTTTATTTATTTTATTTTTTATTTTTATTTTATTTTTTTTTAATTTGAGACAGAGTCTCGTTTCTCTGCCTAGGCTAGAGTGATGCCGTGGCGTCTGCCAGCTCACCAGCAACTAAACTCCTGGCTCAAGCATCCTTCTGCCTCAGCCTCCGAGTCGCTGGGACTACAGGCACGACACCATGCCTGGCTGATTTTTTATATATATATGTATTAGTGGCCAATTAATTTCTTTATATTTTTTATAGTAGAGACGGGGCATATATATATAATTAGCTGGGCAACTAAAAATATAAAAATTAGCCAGGCATGGTAGTGCGTGCCTGTAGTCCCAGCTACTCAAGAGGCTGAGGCAGAAGGATTGTTTGAGCCCAGGAGTTTGAGGTTGTAGTGAGCAAGGCTGATGCCACGGCACTTTAACCCAGGCAACAGAGCAACACTCTGTCTCAAAAAAAAAAAGAAAAGAGAAAGAATAACCACTTTCAAATGGGTTATTTATTACAGTTACAAAATTTAAAGAGTATCTTTAAAAATAGTCTTAATAAATAAAATTACTATACTTCCAAGAATATAAAAGTCTATTTTATCCATAGAAGTTCATATAAATTTTGTGATATTCAAGCCTCCTTTTTTCATCCCACAAGATACATCTTGAGAATTTACAACTCATGTAACCCCAAATCCATTATCAATATAGCCTGAAAAAAGAAAATCTGAATTTAAAAAAAAAACTACTTAAGCTCAAAAGGGCTAAAGCTTATATCTGTTTAAATCCTTTTTGGAATCACCCCTGATTCCAAAAGAGTAGTGGGTATAGAAATAAGTGTATTAAATACATAGAATGAGAAAGGAGGTCAGATACAGACCACAATCAGCAGCAGCTCTTATCATGTAGAAGATATTGTTCTAACAGCTTTATAAAAATTGACGCACCTAATACATAAAATCCTGAAATACAAGTACTATTATCAGCCCCATTTCAAACTCAGGTCTAAAACTCATTCTCTTAAGCACAATACGACAGCAAATAACAATACTGGAAAAGTGGTGAAGAATAATGATATCTGACTACTTCCTAGCACAGAGGAGAGACTGATAGCCCTGGAATGCTTTTCCCTTTCTCTATAGCATTTGACCCCAACTTCTTGAAGATAATCTCTTCATTTCTGGATGATAGTCTAATCTTTCTGGAAGTTCCTTCCCTTTCTCTGCTGACCAGCTCCTTTTTCTTCCTCAGATCCCTAAATCTGTTCATTTTCCCAGAATGTTATTCCTTAGGTTTTGACTTTTCTTTCTCAAAAATTCAATCTACTTTGACAATTACTACCTTTTTCCTAAAGCACCAAAATTACCCTCACCCCACCCACCCATGCACACCAATTCTAATTTTTAACTTCCTATTAGACATTTCCACTTGGAATTTTCCACCATCATCTCAAACTCTATGAGGCTACCTTCTGTATTTTTCCCTCCTTAATTTTTTACTATAGGAATTTCCCAACACATACAAAAGTAGACAATAACATACGGAATCCATCAAACAGTTGTTTAATACGTACCCATCATACAGTTGCGTCAACAGCTCAGGGCCAATCTTGTTTCATTTATTCCCCTACCTCTTCTCCCCCCCCCTGTATTATTTCAGTACGTACCTCTAAACAACATCTTTTTTTTTTTTTTTTGAGACAGAGTCTCGCTTTGTTGTCCAGGCTAGAGTGAGTGCCATGGCGTCAGCCTAGCTCACAGCAACCTCACACTCCTGGGCTCAAGCGATCCTTCTGCCTCAGCCTCCCGAGTAGCTGGGACTACAGGCATGCACCACCATGCCCAGCTAATTTTTTATATACATATCAGTTGGGTCTCACTCTTGCTCAGGCTGGTTTTGAACTCCTGACCTTGAGCAATCCGCCCGCCTTGGCCTCCCAGAGAGCTAGGATTACAGGCGTGAGCCACCGCGCCCGGCTAAACAACATCTTTTTTAAACATAGCTACAATAATATTCATTATCAACTCACCCCAAATTATCAATAATTCTAATCATATAACTTACTCTTCCAGACCTTCGCAGGCTAATTTAACTGGAATACTTTAGAACACAAAAGGCACAAGTATGCTTAGCTGTCAATGGAAACTACAGTTCTAGGAAGGCTTAAGCCAATTTAGTTTCTAAAATTCATTTACCTCCAAAAACTAAATAAGCATATTATAATTCCTAGCCTTAAAACTATTCTATATATACTTACTGGAAGCATCGCTTCAGCCCATTCGCCATGTCCTCTTTGCAGAAGTTTAATTCTTTCCAGATCATAACAAACTTGTACAAGGTCACCCACTTGAAACTGAGAGGCGCCTCCTTCTGCACCTTGAGCAGCATCCCCACTTCGGACAATGTTTGCTTTAGTGAGAACAGCAGGATTGAAGGTCCACCTACAACAGCAAAGCTAAAACTCAAAATGGGTAGGTTTACTTAATTTTCACAAACATTCTTAAACATAGCAGATCAAAACAGCAAGGCAATCCTTTGCAATTACATCCTGAATAATGTGTATTTCCTTTCCATAATTTTATTATACAAATTTGGGGAAAGAGTCATCTGTAATCACACCACTCTAATACAACTATTAACATTTTAGTATACTTTTGACTAGATTTATTCTCTCCTGCATGTTTTTAAAAAATTTTTATAAAAATAATACACAATCATTGTTAAAAACTCAAGCATTTCAGAAACATGTAAAATAAAATTCAAAGTTCCATTTCACATAAACACACCCAGATCACCATTCCTATCACACTAGAAACTATTATGAATGCACTATTGTGTATCCTTACAGATCTTCTAGTAATGTAGGTTATTAAGTATGAAATGTCTGATTTCCTGAAGTACTAAGTTTTAGACAGTTGATATCTCTGACTCTTCACTTTGACACTTGTTTTACTTTTATTGTGAAGGTAAAGCCTCATTCTTTCAAATGCATAGTTTAGCTTGTGATTATCTGTCAAAGTTTTTTAAGAGCAATTTTCGTGAAACCGTGGATAAGTCAAAAATTCGTGTTATCTCTGAATATGAGTTCTGTCATGGAACCAATACAGTGGAAACAGCTCAAAATATCAACAAAGTATTGGGGAAGGATGTGGCTAATGAATACACAATACGTCAATGGTTTGAGATGTTCCATTCTGGTGATTTTAATCTTGAAAATGAGTCCAATGACCAACGTGGGTGACCTGAGACCAACCTGGATATGGATGAGCTGAAAGCTGTAGTGGAAGTGAATCCATCTCAACCTATGCGTGAATTAGCAGCAAGGTTTTTGGTTTTTTTAATTTCAGCATATTATGGGGGTACAAATAGTTTAGGTTATGTATATTGCCTCCCCCTAGTCAGAGCTTCAAGCATGTCCATCCCCTAGATGGTGCGCATCGCACTCATTATGTGTGTATATACCCATCCACTCCTTCCCCCTCTCATCTGCCCGACACCCAATAAATGTTATTCCTATATATCCACTTAGATGTTGATCAGTGAAACCAATTTGCTGGTGAGTACATGTGGTAGCAGCAAGGTTTGATGTTGCTATTCCAATAACATTGGACTATTTGAAACAAGTTGGCAAGGTAAAGAAGCTGAATAGATGAAGACTTCGTGAATTAAAAGAGCATCAGAAGAGCAACTGTCTCAAAGCCTGCCTTTGCTGTCATGACATAAATGCAAACATTTCTACTCCATGTTGTTATATGTGATGAAAAATGGATTCTTTTTGATAATTGCAAGGATTCCACACAATGGCTGGATAAAAATGAAGTGCCCAAACACAGTCCAAAACCGAAAATTCATCAAGAAAAACTAATGGTGTCAGTTTGGTGGTCCAGCACTTGTACTATCCAGTACAGTTTCATGAAACCTGCTTGGTCAGTCCATTACAGCAGATGTCTACTGCATCCAATGGGACAAAATGATAAGGATGCTTGCGATTAAGCAGCCGAGACTGGTCAACAGCAACAGGCCAATCCTCTTGCAAGACAAAGTTTGACCACTTGTCACACAAACAACGCTGCTCAAACTACAGAGGCTGGACTTGGAAACCCTCTGTCATCCACTGTACTCACCAGACTTTGCACCAACTAACTATCACTTCTTCCAGCTTTGGACATTTTCTTGAAAGGAAAAATATCTAATTCTCAACAAGCTGGGAAAACACCTTTTGCGCTTTCATTGCCGCTTGCTCTGCAAGCTTCTTCAATGCTGGCATAAACAAGCTACTGATAAGATGGCAAACTGTGTTGATAGTTTAGGCGCACACTTTGATTAACTGTACTGTTTCTTGTTTAAGATGAATGAAACTTTTGATTCAAAATCGGATATTTCATATTTAATGACCTAAAATATGTATGCTGATAAAATTTATAATGTACAAAGTTGTTTTCTTTTCAATAAATGGGATATATAATATTTATTATTCTGTCACTTCTTTTTTCTCAGAGAACACATCTTTGAAGATTTTTTAATGTCACAGATATAGATCTACTTAATTCAATTGCTACAGAGTATTCCATACCTTGAATAAACAGTAATGTACTTAACTATTCTCCTATTGACTATCATTTAAAATACTTCCAAATTTTCACTAGTATGTACAATACTATAAAGAAAACCCCTGCAATTACATCTTTGTGCACATGAGGTCAGTATTCCACTACAGATTCACTTTTTTAAGAGACAGGATCTTGCTATGTTGCCCAGGCTAGTCTCTAATTCCTGGGCTAAAGCCATCCTCCCACCTTAGCAAAGTATACATTTGTGTATAATTCTGATAGTTAGTGCCAAACTACTCTACAAAGAGTATACCATTTCTCCCTATCATTGCCAATCTCAAGGATCAAAAAATAGTTATCTAGTTTTAATTTGCTACTGCTTGGGTATTTAACATAATTATAATCATTGTATCAAAACAAATTTGGATACTGACTTCTTTATTATATGTAAGCATTTTTCCATGCTGTTATCATCTTCAGAACTGTCATTTAAATGACTATTGAATATTCCATCAAACAGATGTACCACAATGTATAACACAACAAATCCCCTAATCCCACATTGAACTCCAAAGAAAAAAGTTCCCTCATAAAGTAAGTTTCTACATTATGGCCATATTATATCTTCTTCTCTTTAATTCAAATTGTTATTAGCATATGAAAGATTCTAAGTGGTCACATCATATAAAAACCTACTTACTAAGCTCCTGTAACCAGGAAAGCAAACTTTTCTTTTTTTGTTTTTCCTTTTAGAGATGAGGGTCTGACTATGTTGCCCAGGCTGGACTCAAACTCCTGGGCTCAAGTGATCCTCCAGCCTCAGCCTCCTAAGTAGCTGGGACTATAAGAGCATGTCACCATGCCCAGCACAAGTGAACTTTTCTTTCTAAAGTAACCTCAAAGAAAAAGAAGTCCCTCTGAACAGTTCAGTGTAAAAATCAGATACACAAAATTTTCTTCTTAGTCTTAATAACAGTGCCCTTTACCTCATTCCCAACACCCCAAAATTAACTACACTTATGATAGAGCCTGAACACAGCAGTATTTACTCAAGTTGTTCCCTCTGCTTAGAGTGTTTCCCTATCTTGGTGAAACCTAACCATTTAGACTTACTCCAACTATAATTATATATCTCTCTGAAGTTTTCTCTGATTTACCCTGTAAAATCACCACTGTTCTCTTGAGCCCTCAGAAAATCCTGAATACTTATCTATAGTATTACTTTTATATTTTGTTAAAGTTATTTCCCATTTTGTTTATCCAAACTAAAAGGGATAACAAACCCATTAAAAGCAAGAGACTATGTCTTGCCTATGAAATTCTACTCCTGATCTTAGAGCCTAATACAGATAAGTACTTAAGCCTGTAATCCTAGCACTCTGGGAGGCCAAGGGGGGGAGGATCCCTCAAGGTCAGGAGTTTGAAACCAGCCTGAGCAAGAACGAGACCCCATCTGTACTAAAAATAGAAAGAAATGAATTGGACAACTAAAAATATATAGAAAAATATTAGCCGGGCATTGTGGTGCATGCCTGTAGTCCCAGCTACTTGGGAGGCTGAGGCAGGAGGATTGCTTGAGTTTGAGGTTGCTTGAGTTTGAGGTTGCTGTGAGCTGGGCTGATGCCACGGCACTATAGCCAGGGCAACAGAGTGAGACTCTGTCTCAAAAAAAAAACCAAAAAAACAGGTAAGTACTTAATAAATTTTGTTGAATAAAGAACCAAAAAAAAAGATTATTTTCCAGAACTGTCATATTAATTTTGAACAAGAATTCTACAAGTAATAATCCTAATTTGTACTAACCTAACCATTCCCAAACAAGAGAATATTTAACATAAAACGTTAGTACATGCTAATTAGAACTTAAGTTGCATGCTAAAGATTTTTTCCCTTTTTCCTTCTTTAATGTTTTTATTGATATATGATAGCTGTACATTTTTTACTTTTTTTGATAACAGCCTTATTTTAAAATGTAATTCATATATCATACAATTCACCTATTTAAAGTGTATAATTCAGTGTTTTTTAGTATATTGACAGAGTTGTACAGTGCCATCACCACTATCTAATTTCATTTTTATCATCTCCTAACTATTAGTAGATACCCCATAACTATTAGTAGTCATTCCAAATTTACCCCTCTCCCCAGTCCCTAAATGACCAGTAATATACTTTCTGTTTCTATAGATCTGCTTATTCTGAACATTTTATAGAAATAAAATCACACAACACATGACCTTTTGTGACTGATTTCTTTTTCTTAGCATAACGTATTCAAGATTCATCTATGTTGCAGCATGTGTCAGTACTCCATTCCATTTTATAGATGAATAATATACCACTGTATGGACATAACACATTTTCTTCATCTGTTGAAGGGCATTTTTTGACCTATTCTACTTTGGGGCTCTTATGAATAATGCTTCTATAAACATTCATGTACAGGTTTTCATGTAAACATACATTTTAATTCTTTTGAGTATATACCTAAAGAGTAGAAATGTTGGGTAATATTGTAACTCTATGTTTAACATTTTGAGGAACTAACAAACATTTTTTTTTTGAGACAGAGTCTCTCGCTCTGTTGCCTGAGCTAGAGTGCTGTGGCGTCAGCCTAGCTCACAGCAACCTCAAACTCCTGGGCTCAAGCGATCCTCCTGCCTCAGCCTCCCAAGTAGCTGGGACTACCACAGGCACACGCCACTACACCCACCTAATTTATTCTATATGTATTTTTAGTTGTCCAGCTAATTTCTTTTCATTTTTTTAGTAGAAATGGGGTCTTGCTCTTTCTCAGGCTGGTCTTTAACTTCTGAGCTCAAACGATCCACCCGCCTCAGCCTCCCACAGTGCTGAAATTACAGGCGTGAGCCACCACGCCCAGCCCCAAA